TTATATTTTCTAAAAGTATATAAAATTTCCTACAAATACTGTAATCTTCAAAATTTTATGACCGGGTTGACTATTTTTCTAAGAGCCACAAAAACGGGTAAAAAATAGCCAAAAATGGTTAATTATTCGACTTTTCTCCATACATATCGTATACGAAGGTGATGCCCCAGGTCTTGTAAAATTGTTTCTATTGCTTTTCTTCAGGGAATTTTTATTCTAATATGTTTATCTGATGCCTCTGATGGTAATTATCAAGAAACACATGTTGATTTTTTGCTAAAAGTGGTTTTATCTCGGCGATTTTTGTCATGTCACCGATTCTGTTAAAAGTTCTGTTATTTTCTAGTAAAAAGGCATAGAATAAGAAAATATAGGCCATTGTAGTATTACCAGAAGAGTAATAGATGTAGGGGACGTTTTAACAATCATCAAAAATAGCTCAAAAACAAGGCTTAACAAATTCGATTGTATAAAAAAACCAAAGCATTTAAGCCCTAATATATTTATATCTTCTAAAAGTACATAAAATGTCCTACAAACACTGTAATTTTCAAAATTTTATGAAGGGATTTACTAGTTTTATCGAGGGTTTTGAAAATGCCATACCAAAAAAAATCAAAAATAATAATAATAATTTGCCCTTTCCAAAACATTAATTTATTTCCTTATTTTTCCTGTTAACCTGTAAATAATTTTGACGTCCCCTATACCCTTGGAGGAAATTAAGGGTTCTTCTTGGGCTGCTTTTGATGGCATTGTTTTTCGTGCGTCGCAGCGTTGATTTTAAAGAAATTTCGACGATAGCGAATATTAAATACGTTTAGCATAATCATGTTGACTTTTAATCAACGCAATAACATATCGAAAAGGCTGATGCTAATGGAAAATGATTTTTTCCTCGTATCGATTTTCCCGAAATAAAAATCCATTCTCATAAATAATTATGTGCCCATATTTAATTTGGCCAATCAAATATTAATGTGTTTTGAAGGGGACTTTGATAGACAATATGAAAATTTCGTTAAATCCTATTCATAAATTAATTTCGAAGAAAAATGCATGATGGAACAGAATTTTGGCAAAATACCATGTCAGAAGACGGATTGACAGTTTTTTTTTCTGCCTATTTTTTATTCTAATTATCTCTAGACTACATTTCGGAAAACCGCTGTTATAGGAGGATGCTAAATAATAAAAACTGACAAATTTTCTTCGCAAGAAAACCATTAAAATGTCGGATATAATACGAAATATAATCCGAAGAATGCCTGTATTTACTCTTATTACAAATGAATCGCGTTTTCAAGAAAATATGAAAATAAAAATCCGAAGATGTTTCCTGGGGCTGTGAATGATTAAAAAGGTAGACTTCTAAATATTAATTTTCATATTAAAAAAGTCCTTTTATTAAATTTCTCTACGGGTTGGATACCGGATATTTTTATTTTCAATTCCCCACCTCCCCCCTAAAAAAACTTTTGATTAATATCAAAGAGAATTATTTTTGTTTTTGTTTTTCTTTACATATAAATGAGTACATTTGTATCGAAGAGAACGCCTCAAAACAAGAGTTTAAAAAATGTATTTTCTTACAAAACCAAAGCATGTAAGCCTTTCCATGCTTGCATATCACAAATCTAAATAAAATTTCCTACAAACACTGAAATTTTTATAAGATTATGCCTGTGTCTCTAAAAGGCCTGAAAAAGTGTATAAAAAGCCCAAAATTTTTTGTTATTAACTAATCAAAATAAGAAGAACAAGAAAATATATCTAGACTATTTTAGTTTAGCCTTACGAGCATATGTATGTAGACCAAATTTTAACAATAATCAAAAATTGTTCAGAAAACAAGAGTTCGTAAAATCTATTTTGCCACAAAACCAAATCTGGTAAGCCTTTCAATGATTGCATATGAGGAATCTACATAAAATTTCCTATAAATGCTAAAATTACCATAATTTTATGGCTATGTTTGCTATGTTACTGAACCCTTTAAAAATGTGGAAAAAATAGCCAAAAATTATCAGTTTTTCGACTTTTTTCCGTACAAATTGGCAAATGAAAATTGGCAATTTTCGTCATGTCACCGATTTTGTTAAAACTGCTTTTATTTACTAATTAAAAGGCGCAGAATCAGAAAATATAAACCACTGTAGCCTTACAACAGTAATGGATGTAGGAGACGATTTAACCATCATCAAAAATAGTTCAAAACAAGGGTCCAAAAAATTAATTTTCTCACAAAACCAAAAGATCTAAGCTTACAAAGGTGTGTATATTCTGAATCTACATAAAACTTGCTACAAATGCTGAAATTTTCATAATTTTCTGACTATGATTACTATCTTTCTAAGACCTTTGAAGAAGTGTAAAAATAGCCAAAAACTGTAATTTTTTTGACTTTTTTCCCAAGTCCTGAAAATTGGCCATTTTCGTTATGTCACCGATTTTATTAATTAAAACTACTGTTATTTACTAATTAAAAACTGTAGAATAAGAAAATATAGGCCACTGCAGCCTTACGACAACAGTAATGGATGTAGAAGACAATTTAACCATCATCAAAAATAGTTCAAAACAAAGGTCCAAAAAATTAATTTTCTCACAAAACCAAGATATCTAAACCTTTAAAGGTGTATATTTTCTGAATCAACATAAAATTTCGTACGAATTCTGAAATTTTGTGCCCTTCTCTACTATTCTTCAAAGAGCTGAGAGTATGTAAAAAAGCGAGCTAAAATTTGGCGATTTTAGGGAAATTCTGTCACGAACTACAGCGTTTTTTTAATATAAAAGACCTACAAGGTTGTTCTAGATCTAATAATAATCATTGTTGTTATGATATCAGACCTAAAGTTCTGTTAAAAAATGTATTGCTGACTCATACAGTCAATAATTTGCGAAAAAAATCTTTTTTTCTTGTTCAAACAATAGAACATCCAACGATGGACACCTTTTTCTATTCCAGCCGCGAAAAATTATTTTCGCTGCTTGAAAAGTACGGTTGTAGCCTTGATAGTGATAAAACCGGCGTTGCCCGATCTTTTAAACTTCAGACAGAGCGATATACAGGGCGATACTCTAACTTGAAATCAATTCAGTATACCAGAGATCATTTTTTTTCGAAAATATGCTCGAACACGTCGATAAATATTTTAAATTAGTCATAATTAAGAGTTTTTCGAGAAATTTTCTTATGGCTATTCATAAAAGGTACAACATACAATTCCAAAAGTATAAAATCAAGTAGTGCCGTAAAACACTGGAAAAACAGACAAGGGCACAGGCAAGGCCTTCTTAAACCACGAAAGAACTGCTAATGCTCAGATGAAAGAAAGTGGACAAGACATATACTCATAATATGTCACTTCGTGGCTCTGGATCAAGAGATAATTTCTATATGGGAAAGGAAGGCTAGAACTGGAACAACTATGCTCCTATCCTATCAAGGACCTGCACAAGTTGGTGTAGGACAGTGTTGCCAGAATTGAAATATTTCCTTTAATATGAAGACTTTTACGGTCAAATGTCGTGAATTGAAGGGCTGAAGGATTTTTATCCAAAAAGAAAGCAATATGAAGGTTTCTGGCAGTTTGGACAATAAAAATTGTTAAAATATGTAGTAGGAGTATTTATTGTTTTTTCTACATAATTTTTTTACTTTAACGGTTGTCGTGATCCTGGATTGGACCACCGTCGTCACCAATCTTGTAGTCGCTGCCACCAAATGTTGTAGTTCTCTATTTGACTCGTATCACCACTTGTTGGGAATGTTATTCTTTATTTTTTTTATAATTAAATTCTTACTAAGTTGTTATTACTTTTTATTTTTAAACTTTTAATACAAAATATAAATTTAGCAGTATTACGTCTATGAAAAATTTTATGAATGTCCCCGGTCCTTCTGTGACCGTGCTTTTATGAGAATGCCCTCTCCGAAAATCCACGGGCGTACCTACTATTTCTTAATAATATTTTCAGGTAGGTTTGCAAAGGGACAAACATGACCATTTCTTAAGTAAATAGAAACCAGACATCGCGTCTGAAAGTAAACGAATTACAAAGGAAAACTAAAATGATGCAACTATTTATGACTATTTCTTCCAAATTTCATCTTAAGGTAATGGTTCTGTTTATTTGCATCACCCATCTTTCTGAGAAGAATAATAATAATGTTGATGGTATTTTTCGTACCTTAAATTCTTTAGGCATAGCCGTAGAATAAGGGTAAAAATAATATTTTATACAATTTGTCGAATATACATATACATATAACCATATTAAATGTATGTTCACAACACCTCTCCATTAATGAGAGATTTCATGAGGTGAAAGTGATATGAAATCTCAAAACAAATGTTTATATAATTAATTAGTATAACTCAGATGGAAATGAATAAAAGTATATATATAAAAGTATTATACAAGTCTTAACTACTAATTATAACTAACTTACATTCTAACTTAACTAACATTTTTTTTTTATAACTATTGCAGATTTAAAAATGTATCAAATGCGGAAATTATTTTTCTTTTAATGGTCGCCTTGATGGTACATACCCAATGGGTCTGCGCGAGGGCGCCTGTAAATTAACATTCTCTTCTTCCGGAGTTTTCATAGTTACCTACATTTTCAGAGTTTTGGCTAATATTACGATTATAATGAGCAACATATCTATCACTATTTCTAGAAGATGGTTCCACAGACTGATTAACTCTAATGCATAAGTTTGGAATAATTCCGCAACAGGCTGTCTTGTTAGTACATTTTGTATACAATTTATAAATAATAAAAATAATAGCAAGAAGAGCTAAGATATAGGCAATTACAGATGCTGGAAATGTATAATTGTTTACAAGTTTCTTTTTAGAATTTCATCACCTAACTTTTCAATATCTTCTAGCTTATGGCTCGCTACATTAAGTTCGGGGATGTGCTTTGTTAATTTCCTATAATGTTCGTTGAAAATATTTCACTAATGTTTATTTTTTCTTCCTTTATCCTTTCGCAACAATTATCACTAATGTCGAATGGTGGAATAAAATCACTTGAAATATTGGACTGGACTGTATTTCCATGAGGGATTAGCATTGATGATGCGCTATAAGCTTTACATTGTTTACCTATAGTGACACTACCGCAATTTTTAGTATTACATCTACGTGATTTTTTTTTTATTATTACATGATATCGTAAGAGTTTCTGGATGAGGAACTGCAAATAACCAAGTGTTACTGGTAATTATTATAAATAAATTAACCCTAAAACAAAATATATATACTAATAATAAGCTAATTAAAATTTATTAATTCTAGTTTTTATAATCTATATATACTGATTATGTTTAGTTTTAATAATAAAAATATTTTAATCTATTTGCATGAATAGTTTGTTTATTTTTTCCTTTTTGAATTGTATAATTTACATCTGATATTTTTTTATAATGGTATATGGACCAATCCATAAGGCGGAAAGTTTTTTACTTCTGCCACGTCGAACTGATTCGTCGTAAAGTAACACTTTGTCACCAATTTCGAATATTCTGGTATAACTGTTTTTATCGTAATTATTTTTTGATATGTTTTTACATTTTAATAAGTTTTCTTTAGCTAATTGATTAGAATGTTGCATTTTTTGTTTAAGATTGTTTATGAAATCATCATAAGTATAATTGACTTTAGGTGGTTGTTTAACTGATGTTGGTAATGTAGGAATATGTCCGAATAAAAGTTCAAATGGAGAAAATTGTGTAGCAGTGTGAGGTGTAGTATTATATGTAAATGTTGCATAGGGAATCCAATTATCCCAGTCTGTTTGAGATGTCTTAATGAAGTGTCTTAAATATTCTTCTAGAACTTTATGAGAGCGTTCTAGTGCTCCGTTTGACTCTGGGTGATAACTTGTTGTTTGGATCTTTTTTATCTTTAAAAACTTGCAAGTACTTTTAAAAATATCACTTAAAAAATTTGACCCCTGATCTGTGACTAGCATGTCAGGTATTCCGTAAATGCATATAATATTCGTTACAAAATGATGCGCTACAGTTACAGCTTCTTGATTTCTCATAGGTATATTAATTATATATTTTGTTAAATCATCCTGAAAGGTTAATATGTATTTGTGACCATTTTCGGTTTCTGGTAGTGGTCCAACTATATCTAAAAAACATTTTTCGAACGGTTTTGATGCCGTGGTCGTAATTACCATAGGCATTTTTGTTTTTCGAGACTGTTTATTTTTTTGACAAAGTTCACATTTTTTTATAAACTCTTTTATGTCTTTTTTCATACCTTTCCATGTATATAATTGAGATAATTTTTTATATGTGCGGGATGACCCTTGATGACCTCCTAATGGACAATTGTGATTTTCATTTAATAATACAACTTTTTCAGCATCTGAGGGGTTGATAAGACTGTTGTTAAATATTGTAATTTCTGAATAGAGGTCTTTAAAAATATATCTTATCATAGGAAGAACGATTTCCCATTTGACTAATGAGTTGTAATGATATTTTATAAATGATAGTTCGGTTTTTTCGTTGGATATAATATTTCGTAAAGTTAGTAAGCAAGACCAAATATTTTCATAATTAATATCACTGAATGTATTTTCGTTGTCTGTTAATAGAAATATATTACAATTATTTTGTTGATACTGAAAAACTGACGGCATGTCTAAAGGATTTGTGTTATCGTAATGTTCTAAAAATGTATTAATTTGTTTATTTTTTTCTAGAATTTTAAAGTCGTTTTTGTTGAATAATTTTGGCAAAAATAAAACTATAGGTATAAGTTGTGGTGTTTCAAACAGATTTGTGTTTTTTTCTTTGACTTTGGAATTAATAATTATATGGCTTTCGAGATGTGTTTTAAAATTATCATAATTGGTAATAATAGAATTGACATTTGTTGTGCTAACTATTCTACTCAATGCATCAGCATTTGTATTAATCTTTCCAGCTTTATAAATTATTTCATAGTCATATTCTTCAAGTTTTATTCTAAAACGCGTCAAACGAGAACCAGGGTCTTTGATATTAAATATATAGAGTAGGGGTTTGTGATCTGTAACAATTTTAAATCTTGTGCCAAAAATATATGGACGGAAATGTTTTACTGCCCAGACGATTGCAGTTAGCTCTTTTTCTGAAGTTGAATAATTTTGTTCTGCTTTATTTAGAGTTCTACTAGCAAACGCTATTGGACGATCATGATTAACCTTACCCTGCGATAAAATTGCTCCTACTGCGAAATTACTCGCATCTGTTGTTATAATAAATTCTTTGGTAAAATCTGGGTATTGGAGAACAGGTGGAAAAGTTATACTATCTTTAAGAATTTGGAAAGAATTTTCGCATTTTATACCCCAATTAAAAACAGAATCTTTTTTTAATAATTCGGTTAAAGGTTTAGCAATTTTAGCGAAATTTTTGATAAATTTCCTATAATATCCTACAAGCCCTAAAAAAGATTTTATATCTTTAGGATTTTTAGGTTGCGGAAAGTTTGTTACACATTGAATTTTTGATGGATCTGGTTTAATGCCGTTTTCTGTAATAATGTGACCTAAGTATAAACATTCTTTTCGTAAAAACTGACACTTCGAAGGTTGAAGTTTTAAATTATGTTGTCTAAATCTTTGAAAAACTTCAATTAATCTATCGTTATGTTCATTTAAGTTGTTTGCATAAATTACTATATCATCTAAATAAATAAAGCATTTCATACCATTAAGACCGCTTAAAACTGTGTTCATGAGTCTTTGAAATGTGGCGGGAGCTCCTTTTAAACCGAAAGGCATTCTGTTATAAACGTAATGTCCTGTATTAGTGCTAAAAGCGGTTTTATTTTTATCTTTTTCGTCCATTTCTACCTGATGAAATCCACTAGTAAGATCTAAGGTAGTAAAATAATGAGATTTTCCTAACTGGTCTAAAATTTCTGCTATATTAGGTAGAGGATATGCGTTTCCAATGGTAATTTCATTTAACTTTCGAAAATCAACGCATACTCTAAATTTAGGTGATAATGGGTCGCTTTTCTTAGGAACAACTAGTAAAGGACTATTCCAAGGACTGTCCGAAGCGGAAATTACCCCGTCTTTTAACATTTGCTCAGTTTGTTCATTAATTATTTCTTTATGTTTGAAAGGCAATCTATAAGGTTTTACGTTAATAGGACCTTTATTACTTTCTGTCGGTATAGTGTGTTTTATTGTGTTGGTGCTTGTTAGTTTATCGCCTTCTAAGTAAAAAATATCGTTAAAATCTCTACAAATATCTAATACTGAATTAGTTTCTTCTTCATTTAATTGGTCTAGATTAATTTCTTTTCTTATTTTAGCAAAACGATCGATAATGTCATAATTATATGTTTCTATAAATTCGTACTCATTAAAAGAAATAGGTTCGACATTCACTCTAGGTGTATGGATAGTTTGAGCTTCATTAGAAATATTTAATATGCTAACTAAACATTTATAGTTCTGGACTTTTGTTAGGCTTGACCCTAGATATAAATGTTCGGATAATTGTTTTGAAACTACTATGCCTTCGGACGAAGATAAATTAGCTAGAGCAGGTACAATAATTTGACATCTCGCGGGAATTATTGTAGTTGCTTCTGACGGCAAAATTTTAAAAAAATTGTCTTCAAAATTAATGACTCCGTCTTCGTAATTTATTTTGGCTTTATACTTTTGCAAAAAATCGCGTCCTAATAGTCCATCACTTTTAATCGGTATACTATCTGGCACAATGTGAAAAGGATGAGTTATTGCTTTGTTATTGTTTAATTTAATTGGGATGTTACAAACACCTTTAGTAAATACAGGTTCTTTACTTATACCTTTTAATTCTATAATGCAAGTTTTATTTAATTTTAGATTATTTTGTAATAAGATACATTCTTTCAATAAAGATATATCTGCCCCTGTATCTAATAAAAGATGTAATTCTTTATCTTTTATATCTAAAGAAGGGATTTTAATTATCTCTAATTGTTGGTAACTATCGGAAAATAATACTGATTTATGCGGTATGTCAATTAAGTTTTGCTCAATTTTAATTTTATTTTTATGCTCAGGTAGTGTGTAATTCATAGAACAGCTATTATCTAATTTTAAGAAGCGCTTAATCGGCTGCTCGCGACCAAGGCTTCGCTCTCGTTTCCCGAAAAATTTTGAGATGTGCTCGGTTCTGAAAAATAATTATCTGCTGAATTGATTAACGACTGAGAATTTATAGTTTGAATTTGTTGTGGTGATCTATTATTTGAACTATTAAAATTGGTAGTACTGGATTCATTATTGTAATTAGAAAAATTTTGAGATTGTTGAGGTATCGAAACATTTTGCTGCCGTTGAGGAACTTGTGAGTTATTAAAATTTCTTGGATTCTGAGAATATCTATTATTGTAATTTGAACGAGGATTATTACTGTTATAATTGTTACCATAATTACGATTATAATTACGCACGTCGTTGTTCTGATTAAAATTTTGATTGTTGTAGTTTCGATTAGTGAAACGTCCTTGATTATATTGTACTGTATTTACGTCTTGTCTATTTGAAAAATTATTATTGCTATTAAAATTTTGCGGTGGGCGTGTCTGATTATTGCTAGGTACATTTCTATTATATGAGTTACTATTTTGTTCGTATTGCCTAAGCTGTCTACACTGTGATGTTAAATGATTATTTTTAAAACAAAATAAACAGGAATTATTAGAAGAATGATTATTTAATTGTCTATTTCCACGCTCTACAAAACCTATATTTTTAAAATGCGAGTTTTTAAACCTGTCATTATTCTCAAGTTCCATTTCAATTGCTAATGATAAAGCTTTATCTAAATATGTAGTATTTTCGGCAATAATACGCATTTGAATTTTTTCATCGTTGAGTCCTTTTCTAAAAGTATTGACTAAAATGGAGTTTAAATTTTCTATTAAAACAGTAGCTTCGTTATTTGCATAATTTAAGTGACACGTTTCTTTATATTTATTAAAGAGAATTTGTAATCTATCGCCATATTCTTTTACAGTTTCCCTAAAATGTTGCTTTATATTCATTATTTGTGTTAGAAAATGCGATGGTGGTGTTTTATCAGTAAAGTGCTCTAATAAGAAATCTTTTAGTTCTTCCCAATTTTGAAACTGTTTATATTGTGTTACCTCTTGTGCCTTCCCTTTTTAATTTAGTACCAAAAATTAAATCTACTAGTAATTCTTTTTGATCCACTTTGACAATTTTTAATATTGAATCACAATTTTTTAAGAAAAATTGGAGTGAATTTGCGTCACCCTGACCATCAAATGAATTTATTAAATTCAGAACATCAGTTGCGTCTTTACCTCCTGCCATTATTATATTTTATTAATGATTTATTACTTTAGTTTAAGAATTATTATTTATTTTTTATAGATGTATTTTTAGTTTGAAGAGAGAAAAAAAATATTTACGAATTTTAAGCAATATTTTTTTTTTTTTTTTTATTTGCAGCCAAATTATTATTGTCTTAACTTAAATCTAACTAACTAAAATCAGAAGAAAAACAGTAGCGTCACAATACAGTAAACAAATGAAAGACTTACCCCGTCATCATCTGGTGAAAACAAAAGCTTCCCTGGAGACTTGCTGCTGCGTCTGGCGCTCCTTCAGTGTCCCCAATGTCTACGTCTCGTGTCGGGCTTCTTGCTGCTTCTTGGTGCACCTTCAAGAACTGCCGTTGCCTCTATCTTCTTCCAAAACTGGTAGGTTTTCTGCTGCGTCTGGCGCACCTTCAGGAAACCTTGGTAGTTTTTACCGCTGCCACCAATGTCGTGATCCTGGATTGGACCACCGTCGTCACCAATCTTGTAGTCGCTGCCACCAAATGTTGTAGTTCTCTATTTGACTCGTATCACCACTTGTTGGGAATGTTATTCTTTATTTTTTATAATTAAATTCTTACTAAGTTGTTATTACTTTTTATTTTTAAACTTTTAATACAAAATATAAATTTAGCAGTATTACGTCTATGAAAAATTTTATGAATGTCCCCGGTCCCTTCTGTGACCGTGCTTTTATGAGAATGCCCTCTCCGAAAATCCACGGGCGTACCTACTATTTCTTAATAATATTTTCAGGTAGGTTTGCAAAGGGACAAACATGACCATTTCTTAAGTAAATAGAAACCAGACATCGCGTCTGAAAGTAAACGAATTACAAAGGAAAACTAAAAATGATGCAACTATTTATGACTATTTCTTCCAAATTTCATCTTAAGGTAATGGTTCTGTTTATTTGCATCACCCATCTTTCTGAGAAGAATAATAATGTTGATGGTATTTTTCGTACCTTAAATTCTTTAGGCATAGCCGTAGAATAAGGGTAAAAATAATATTTTATACAATTTGTCGAATATACATATACATATAACCATATTAAATGTATGTTCACAACACGGTGTTTAATTAAGGATGTCTCAATTTATAGCAATGTTGCTGTCAAAAAGTCCGCAATTCGAAACATTTTAACATTTAATAAAAAATTAATAGATACATTTTGGTTGAAGAAATACGCTGGAAAATGTCTGGCAAATCTTGGTCTAGCATTTGCGCATCACTATTTAACAAAAAGATAACGATTGGGTAAATGACAAGGAATAAAATTTTGAAATCTGGCATGCATGTGTACTTGATATACCCATTAAAACTAGTCTATTTAAAAAATGCCGATACCTTCGATTCAGTGAATTTGTTCCAAGTTAGAGATAGCCGTCCTGTATATATAATGGCCAGATTCAAGGTGACCTAAGAGATCGACCAAAAAAACATGCCGGCAACAGGGCAGGCTGGGTTTGGCAACGTCTTCGACGATTCCATTTGAAACAAGATTAATACTACTCAGTAATACACCGATTTAAATTTTTTAACATTTAGTTTGTCCACGGTACTCATTCTAGCTAGCCTAAATTATTCAGCAAAACACTGTTGATCTCCGCTCCATTCGCAACATGTGCGATGCGGTTTTTTACACGTAAATAATGAATTAAGATTATCTGTAGCTAAACAAATTACGGAAAAAACTATTTTTTTTAATATAACACGAAATTCTCTCACAGAACTAAATCTGGCAAATCGGACGTCAAACCTATTTAAAAAAAGTATTCAAAACACAGTTTAAAGGTACAAAATTAATACCAACTTGTAAAGACTAAAGAACATAGTACATTTAATGTACTAAATATACTGCAAGCTGATACTATTTCTCAATATAATTTATAATAGTATCATTTCTAGCTTCAACTTTAAAGTAAAATCTATTTAGAGATTCAATTTGAAGCAAGATTAATGCTCAGCAAACGGATTTGAATTTTAACATTAGTTGTCGTTCATTCCACTACATTTAACTCGGTCTATAACGGATTATTTATCTATTTCGCTATGAAAACGATAGATGTTTTTATCATTCATTTTTACTCCCTCTCGAACATCAGATAAAATACAGTACAAAATGGATTCGAAAAAAAAATATTACTGGACTTTAACAAATTTGAATCTTCGATTTTTTCCATTCCACCACATTTAACGTTATAAATCACAAAAGACACTACAAAATATAACAAATATCTAGCTATTTTTAATTAGTTCAGGGCTAGAAAGTTTATAAAAATTCAAAGTATTCATTTAAAAAAATATTAGTGGAGTAAAACAAAGTGGAATGTTCAATTTTTTCCATTCCATCACATATTTAACGTTATAAATCAAAAAAGACACTACAAATTATAATAAATTTCTAGCTATTTTTAATTAATTCAGTGCTAGAAAGTTTATAAAAATTCAGTCTTCATTTAAAAAAAAAATATTAGTGAAGTAAAACAAACTGGATGCTTAATTTTTTCCATTCCACCACATTTAACGTTATAAATCACAAAATACACTATAAAATATAAAAATATCTAGCTATTTTTAATTAGGCCAGTGCTAGAAATTTTATAAAAATTCAAAGTACCTATTCATTTAAAAAAAAATATTATACAAACTGGCATGTTCAATTTTTTCCATTCCACCATCATTTACCGTTATAAGTCAGAAAAGACTTTATACCACATAACAAATATCTAGCTATTTTTAAGTAGTTCAGGGCTAGAAACTTTATAAAAATTCAAAGTATTATTTGAAAAGATATTGTACAAACTAGAATATGTGCTAGATTGTTCATTTTTTTCAAGTTTCAATTTTAACAAATCTCTAGCTATTTTTAATTAATTCAGTGCCAGAAAGTTTATAAATATTCAAAGTCTTCGTTTAAAAAAAAATATTAGTGGAGTAAAACAAACTGGATGCTTAACTTGTTTCGATTCCACCACATTTAACGTTATAAATCACAAAAGACACTATAAAATTAAAAATATCTAGCTATTTTTAATTAGTTCAGTGCTAGAAAGTTTATAAAAATTCAAAGTATTCATTTAAAAAAATATTATACACACTGGAATGTTTTTTTCCATTCCACCATCATTTACCGTTATAAGTCACAAAAGACTTTATACCACATAACAAATATCTAGCTATTTTTAAGTAGTTCAGGGCTAGAAAGTTTATAAAAATTCAAAGTATTCATTTGAAAAGATATTATACAAACTAGAATCTGTGCTAGATTGTTCATTTTTTCCAAGTTTCAATTTTAACAAATCTCTAGCTATTTTTAATTAATTCAGTGCCAGATAGTTTATAAATATTCAAAGTCTTCGTTTAAAAAAAATGTATTAGTGGAGTAAAACAAACTGGATGCTGAACTTGTTTCGATTCTACCACATTTAACGTTATAAATCACAAAGACACTATAAAATTAAAAATATCTAGCTATTTTTAATTAGTTCAGTGCTAGAAAGTTTATAAAAATTCAAAGTATTCATTTAAAAAATATTATACACACTGGAATGTTTTTTTCCATTCCACCATCATTTACCGTTATAAGTCACAAAAGACTTTTATACCACATAACAAATATCTAGCTATTTTTAAGTAGTTCAGGGCTAGAAAGTTTATAAAAATTCAAAGTATTCATTTGAAAAGATATTATACAAACTAGAATCTGTGCTAGATTGTTCATTTTTTCCAAGTTTCAATTTTAACAAATCTCTAGCTATTTTTAATTAATTCAGTGCCAGATAGTTTATAAATATTCAAAGTCTTGGTTTAAAAAAAATATTAGTGGAGTAAAACAAACTGGATGCTGAACTTGTTTCGATTCTACCACATTTAACGTTATAAATCACAAAAGACACTATAAAATTAAAAACATCTAGCTATTTTTAATTAGTTCAGTGCTAGAAAGTTTATAAAAATTCAAAGTATTCATTTAAAAAAATATTATACACACTGGAATGTTTTTTTTTCCATTCCGCCACACATTTAACGTTATAAATTACAAAAGGCACTATAAAATATAACAAATATCGAGCTATTTTTAATTAGTTTAGTGCTAGAAAAAAATGTATAGCTAGTTTATAAAAATTCAACTTATTTGTTTATAAAAATGTTAATCTTCGAATTTTTCATTCCACCACATTCAACGCCATAAATGATAAAATACCCTACAAAATGTCATAAACGATTTAAATATTTCTGTTACTTCATGGCTAGAAATTTTTATATAATATCCTTTATAAAAATTCATGATACGTTAAAAAAATTCAATGATTACAGCGATTTTTTTTTTCAAATATATAACAGTCAGATGCAAATGAGTTCGTACTCACCTTTACATTTTTTTCCTACATGACCCTGACCCCAAATATAATCTTTGCCTGCAAATAAAAAAAAATAGTTAATAAAAATTATAACATACCATTATACAGGGTCCGGCAACAGTGCGTCGGTCATCTGTACCTCCTAGAATGAAAAACTTGAGAATTTTCTTTAAATTCAGACCTAAAGTAGGATGGCTCAAAAAAATGTGAGTGGATCGGGATAATTTTTTTTAAACGGAACACCTTGTATGTTATTGCATTTTTGGCTTCCTTTCAGATCACTTTACATAATCCTAAGATATGGGTAAATATTAAATATATTTCGATAGTTTCAGAGATATTAATAAATAAAAAATAAATATTTTTCAGCCTTTCTTAACAAAATATTAAAAATACAAGAACTGTCCTGAAATCAAAACTATATTAGGTATTTACTTTAGATGGTCCGTACTTAACTTTGCTATAAATATGGTAATCGTAAATCATACAGGATGTTCAAAATTCTACGCCAATTTTTCTAAAATTAAAATAATTTTTCTTATTTTTTTTTAAATGGAACACCTTGTATATTGTTTTTCCAATAGATAGAGAATTAAAAAATGAACATTTTTTGTATTTAGAGTATTTCAAAATTTTTAACGGTTTCCCAGATATTCGCGGTTTTATATTAAAGCGACCCACCTTTTATTATAAAGCCACCCAATGATTTTTCTCTCGTATTTTACCGTTGAAAGAGCCATATGAAATAATACCGCGTGGTATCTGCTTTTTAAATACAAACAAAATCACTTTTTAATTCTCCATCTAATAAAAAAAAATAATATAGAGGGTGTTCTATTTAAAAAAAAAGCATCCCGATCCACTCACACTTTTTTGAGCCCCCCTATAGAAGTTAACATATCTTCCTGAAATACATCCTCGTACATACTTTAGGTATGCACTTAAACAAAATTCCCAAGTTTTGTATTATAGGAACTACAGATGCCCGACGCACTATTGCCGGACCCTGTATAATATTGGATGATCAAAATAAATCTAACAACTTAAGTGAGAAATGGTTCTAGAATTTATTCTCACAGTTTATTAAAAACTTGTCCCTGGATCATAAAATAATTTTGATTTCGAATTTCAAGGTAAAACACGTCAAATCCCTAATCGAAAATGCCTGTTCCAATAACTCTTATTTTCCAAAATCCATAAAATATATTTTTAAACTAAATCAAGTGCAGTTAAAACCCGTTATAACTTTCTAGAAACTCCTTGGCCGTCTGTAAAACTAAATACGAAACGATAAAACTGCTTGTTAAAAATATAATTTATTTCCTGCGTACAGTTTATGAACTGCGCTAATGTTTTGACAATAACGAAAAACAATAAAAGTGTAATTACATGTTATATATTTGACATAAAACATAACTATGTCTTGTAAAAGACATATAAGAATCAATACATGCAAAAATCCATGCATTTCATTCATTTAATAAAGCAATTTATTGACTATTAAAGCGCACAGGAATAACTAAAACCAGTTATTTAATCTACGTATTTTAAACTTTGTCTAGATTTTTGTAACCCTTTCGGTTGGCTCTCATGAATAGATAAAAATTAAACAAAAAAATATTTTGAATTTATAATCTTTCTCTATTGTCTTAAACAATAGAACATAGTACCGAAATCGTCTGATTTTTTAGTAAATTTTGTTAGAACAAGCGATTATCGTTATGCATTGTGGTCGATCAGGGAAATATTTTGTGGCACAAAAGGATTATACAGGGTGTTCCCTCGGGAAATACTTCAAATAATATACTAACAAGTACGCTAAAAAGTATAATAGTCCTGAAAACTACAAGCACAAATTAATGAACTAAATACAGCCAGCAATAAAGTGGGTCTCAGAATGAATTTAGCAAAAACTAAAGTAATGTACAACGAACTAGTGGAAAGAAAAGACATTCTAATAGAATAACACAACGCTGGAAATAGTGGAAGAATTATTATTTGGATGTGCTTGGATATTTTGGTGTACTACCAGTCGTAACCTATGCATGCCAAACCTGGACACTTAAAACGGACATTATATAAGGAAACTGCAGGTCGCAGAACGACGCACGCTCAATGGAACGAAATATGCTGGGAATAACCAAGAAAGAACATAAAAAAATAGAATGGATACGACAAAAGACCCAGGTACTAGATGTCATCCACAGGAGTTAAATCCCTCAAATGGCAATGGACAGGACACCTGGCAAAAAGGACGGACAACAGATGGACCACAAAAATAACAGCATGGTATAGTAATGGAATTAAGAGATCTAGAAGAAGACAATCAATAAGTTGAAAATGATGCTGACGATGACGCTAAAAAGAAGCAAAATAGCTTTGAAATGGTGCTACGATTTGACTATTTTAAACACCCTATGTATTTATTATACCACCAATCAGGGGTGGATGGGGAAGTGGAAACCGGCCCGGGAAAAACAAGCAACCGGCCCAAATCCACAAAAATGACCATAACGAAGAAACATATTTTATTTATTAATATATAAGTAAGGGTGTCTTTCGCTCGTGCAAAAAAGCTCTTTTACCTTTAAAAAAATTATCTTGATCAAATTTTTCGTAAAGACCAATATTGGGTCGGACATCTGAATTTTTACTACAAAATGGTTCAGTTTTACAGGGTTCTACTGCTTTATTTCCATTAACGATAACGGTAATTTATAACGGGATTTCTTTTCTGCTACAGCAGCAGCCTCCTCGTGTACACGTGTTTGAATGAACCGCGGTCGCCATTAAAACTGTAGCATTTTTTAGGTTATTATATAGTTCTTATCACGAAACTTTTCCTCTATACTTTTGGCATCTTGTATGGTAATGCCATGCCTCAAACGAAAAAAACCTAGGCAATACCTAGGCAGAGGATACAAATGTGTTCTGATGTTACAGTCCCTAATGTTACAGTCCCTAATAAGAATATTTGGATTTTCGAGACATATTAATATTTTATTATCTAATCTAGTTTAAACCTTATTTAACTTTTCTCTGCTGTCACAGTAATTTTTAGCAAATTCATTTTAGCAACATTTTAAACAACAATTTAGATTTGGCTTTTAGTTCTCAGACTTGGCTTTTAGTCCGTCCCCAATTCAAGCCAAGCATAGAGATGTTTTCTCCGTCAACCGCTGAGTTCGCGTCAAATTCGTCTACCTTTTTACAGAGGGGAGCTCGAAAAATATTTCACCGAGGCCCCCGGTTGTCAATCTACGCCATCGTATTCTTAGTATACATTTAGATCGAGACTATTTAAATTTACCTAATGCTATTCATCCTTTTTTTTTTGCTGCCAGTCAGTCATATTTATTAGTTATTAATAAAAGAATAGTGGGTAAAACTATACAGGGTGAATCTTAAATAAATGCAAAGATTTTCAGGGGTGGTATATTTCGACACCAAGAACACGTCTATGAGTTTTTTTTGTAAAAAAAGATGTTAAAAATCGAGCATTTTCCTGTATATTTTAGAAAACTCTCTTGTTCACCGCAAATTTTCCCACGGTATAGTGTCTTAATATATTACGGCACTAAAAGAGATGCAAATACCGAAAAATTTAAGTGGCTAAAATTTTTTTAAAAATAAATCTTTTTTTTTTAATTTCCAAACTTTAATAACTCGATTGGACTTATTTGAAACTCGATAAAGAGAATATATTATGTTTATCTTATTGAGATCTACCAGCCCTGACAATATTTGCACTTACAGACTCGCAAAAATTTTCAAACCGAACAAACAACAGATGATTATTAAAATTATAAGTGTCCCAGAGAAAGACATTTTACAAATTGGTATTTATGTTTAAAAGCAACTGACGATTATACTGATGCAAATTGATTAGTTAGTTATGGAGTCACTAAGGATCTTACGCCACTTTAGTTAGTTAAGATTAACCATTTAACTTTTGCTAATCCAATCTTTTTTAAGCTCTGATCGGGACCGGCCCACCGGCCCACCGGCCCACCGGGAATTTTCCCGTTTTCCCATATGGCCCATCCACCCCTGCCACCAACAATTACAGAACAGCTGATTGGGTTAGAGACCATTTGATTTACTTTAATAAAAAAAATAAATTCATCGCAACTAATGGTTATATAGTCAATAAATTAAATAATATCTATGTAGGTACGAGGAATGTTGAAACAACAATAAGAATTGCCAAGAATGCAGCTTAAGAATAATATTAAAAATTATAACAATATTAATTATTATCATTGGAAATACGCAAGAACGAGTTTCAATAATTTTCTTAAGTATATTCAAGAGATTTAAAAAAATTCGATATAAATACCATAGAATTTATTGTTTTAAGTGTAGGAACTCTCGATAATATGATATTATTGCTAATGGTTCGTTATTAATGAAAAAAAAATCAAACATTTGAACTATATTTGCATTCAAAATATACGTAGCTCCATATCAATATTACTTAATGAGTTATGTAAGGTTCTTAAAACAATAAACATGTTATATAAAATTATTTTAATTGGACCTGATTTATTTTAATTAATACTGTATTTAACAGTAAAAAAAATTGCGTTTTAAAGGTCTGGATTGAAAAAAGGTGATGGAGATCGTGGTAAACGACATCGAAAAAGAATAAATATTGAAAAAAAGATGGAATAGAATGCCAGAAAAGCAGCGATCCCAGGAAAATCAATGTGAATGGATTAAAGGTCGTGGAAAGTTGACAGAGAAAAACTAGGAAAGCGTCAAGATGGAAAATCGACCATTCGACTAGCCATGGTAGTTTCCAAGTTGGCTCTTCTATTCCAAATTGCGGACGTTTAAACTGAACAACAGCTTTATTTCAAAACTATACTGTTCCCCAGAAGAATTTTAAAATTATTAGTCTTCCTTTTACAATTGCCAAATAATACATCATAATATACGTAAAAAAATATGTAGAGATTCCTCCTAAATCCGAATCTTTTTGAAAATTTTACAACCAATTAGAAAAATATATCTTTATTTTATACCATCCTTATCGGCTAAGCACTAAAAAGGTTTTGTTGGGTAACTTTAAAAAAGAAATAAAATTAGGGTAGAAGATTTAAAGACCCTCATAAAATTTTCGAATGGGTATAGATTGAAAGAAAAAAAACGTGATCTTTTACGGTTATCCCCAAGGGTAACTTTCTTCTATTTAAAAAAAGATCACGAGAAAAAACGGTCTCACAGTAGCCTTTTAGAAAATCCATAATTTCTCCTCACATATCTTAGATATAAAATAGTTTAAGAAACAGCAAGATCTTAGTTTTTCAATGATTGATTATTAGTAATGGTTTTAAACAGTTATAAGTGTATAAACTTACGTTCATGGCATTATCAAACAGCAAATAAATAAATACGTAGTTGTTGCTCACATTAAAAAGGTGAATTATGATATGTGAGCTGGATTATGACAAGCCTAAGAATATTGCTTTATAATCAAAGATATATGTGTGTATGTAAACAATGATTTTTAATAAATATGTTACTTGTAATTACGCATTGACATATACTGTTTTTTATTATTTAAATTGTGTTGATAGTATTTTTTTCGCTACTAAATACCGACGTAATAAAGTAATTGAGTAAAAATGAATAATTAAGCAACATTTACTTACAGCCCAATTTTTTATTAATATTTGATTTTGTTATTAATGATTAAAATGATAAAATAAAAAATACATATCCAAAATATTCAAAAGCTCTATATTAAAATAAGCGCCAATTTCTTAATTTTGGGAATTCCTAAAAGGGCAATTAATTGTTTCAATAATTATTATCCAATTTTTCACCTACCAGGCATATTACCCATTCTCACAGATTAGCTAGACTATTTTTCTTTCTGAACTGCACATCTCTCAATAATAGAACGATTTTTATCGCTGGAAAAAAAGTGCAGAATATTTGTACTTTCTAACGCATTTTCCGCCTTAACCCATCAGAAAACCCCCCTTACATACAGGGTGTCCCAGAAATATGTGCAAGTGTTTTAAGGGGTGGTAGATCTCGATAAAAAAAACATATTTTCTCTTATAACCCAGTTATTTTACTTTGGATTTACAGCAAAATAAAAACACTAAATCACCACAATACACCAAAACACTTTTACTTTTACACTGGACGCGCGTTTCGCTAACCATGTTAGCATCATCAGCAGATGATTATAAACGAAAGTACAATCTACAAGTTGAGCGTTTATATACTCGCCCAGTGGGCACCGAGTGGGCGTGGCAAAAACTAGCCAACCGAGTCAGAGCCAACTGAGCGTAACAGTTAGATTTCCGCCACTAGAGTAGTAGGAACAAAGAACTTGAAGGAATTGGACCGTTGTCTCTGTTCATACTATCTTTAAATTTATTAATTCTGATGCTTTCATATGCATCTAATTGCCTGTAATTTGAGACTTGTTTAATTAATTTTAAATTATTAAGTCACGTAATAATAATTTAAAATTAATTAAACAAGTCTCAAATTATGGTAGACCGGATAAATCTTGCGTTGCCGAACATATTGTTGATAAAGAACATTGTATAGCCTTAATAATTTAAAATTAATTAAACAAGTCTCAAATTACAGGCAATTAGATGCATATGAAAGCATCAGAATTAATAAATGTAAAGATAGTATGAACAGAGACAACGGTCCAATTCCTTCAAGTTCTTTGTTCCTACTACTCTAGTGGCGGAAATCTAACTGTTACGCTCAGTTGGCTCTGACTCGGTTGGCTAGTTTTTGCCACGCCCACTCGGTGCCCACTGGGCGAGTATATAAACGCTCAACTTGTAGATTGTACTTTAGTTTATAATCATCTGCTGATGATGCTAACATGGTTAGCAAAACGCGCGTCCAGTGTAAAAGTAAAAGTGTTTTGGTGTATTGTGGTGATTTAGTGTTTTTATTTTGCTGTTTAACACCAAAGGTTCCAACCCTCAACTGTAATTTTGGATTTACACTGGATCTTTTCTGGAATTTCTTTCTTGTAAATTTAATCTAATACCTACATATGTTGCCATAATCAAGAAATTATGTTTTTCAACTAAAAACTAAAAAATTTCAAAATTTTTTTTTCGCGAAAAAAACGTGTGGCGTGTTTTTGGGGTTGAACTATACTACCAGTTAAAATACTTGCACTTATTTTTGGGACACCCTGTATAATGAAATTTGCTTAGAATAACATACCGAATACTATGGATGTTTGCTGACTGGGAAATTAAGTACCGAAAATCTTCACTGCCTCCTGGACTAATATATCTTATGACTAATCAAAAATTATTGGAACGCAGGCTTGATTAAATAATAAAAACAGTGTTTCTTGTTTGTATTTCTTTAAAACAAATTTAATCGACATTAAAATAATAAACGTCCAATTAAATATTGATTTGTTTTGAAGGCTTATCTTCAAACATATTCACAGATAAAAAGTGAGGCTTTTTTATTTAAAAAAAAAAAAAACATTTCGATTATCTTTATTTTAATTAATATGAATAATCTGTCATTTTTTGGGCCGTCGACTGTCATAATCTTCCCTGACTTGTTGGACAGACTGTATATTATATTCCTCACGCAAAAATTTGGAAGGTAGAGACCTCTACCCTCTATATGCAAAAATAACTGGATATATTAGAAAAGGAGTATGCAGCGCCCTCTAACGTAGAAGTTACTAAGTTTTACATCGATTATTTGGCCAACTCTCTTCATACTAATTTAAAGCATTATTTTTGTCTTAAAATATAGATATATTCAATGTTATCTCCTAAATGCTTTTTTCAAAGACAAGCCAGTATATAATAGGATAATAAGTTAAGTTTTCCAACTCTAAATATTCAATTTTCAGTTAAATCTAGAGCCCTCGCCTGGTGTAGTTTAAAAACTCAAAACACAAACAACATCAAAAACTTTATACTATAAGAATATTAATATACAATAAGCTTTACTTACAATGCTTGCAGAGAATTGGCGTCAAAACGTAGATATCTTCAAGCTTGTGGTCAGTTGAATTGTTTTCTGTTTCTAAAACATTAAAAAAATGTTAAATAGCTGTTCCATAAGAAAATGAATATTATATCACACGACTGATGCACAATTGTAATTTAAGCATTCTAGAATTCGAAAATACATTATGTAAACTAAAGGAGGTCTAATTTTAGTTATGAAAATAAATAACATGTAAGAAGCATACACAAATATTATGAGAAACAAGTGCATTGTGGAAAAATTATATAAAATTAGTAGGCAAAGGTCAAATAATATTAATTATTACCTGGTACACCGATTTCCGATGGATGGTGTATCTTTTTATTCACTTCCTGACCCAATAATTTCACGTGCTTAACTAAAAAAAAACAATACAGTTAGTACAATACAAAACAATTTGGTGATAAAAAGGAGACTCTTAAAACACTACGATAATACATATAGAACAAGGATAAGGGTAAACAAAATTAAAGAACATTATAATTGATTCAATCATGTGATTTGTCTGACTTAAAATAGTTCAAAAAAATAAGAAAGAGTCTTCAGTTTATATGGTATTTAATAAAAGATTCTCATACCTCTAACATAGCCATTAAGCCTTGTTCTTCTACTGTAAGCGTACAAAACTAACTGACTTCTGATTTGGCCATAGTGTGAGCTTGCTGGCACCTCGAATATATCTCCCTTTTGAAACTCTAAGTACAATCCTTTCTTCTGTGAAGGTTCGAATGACTGAATCGCCTGATAGATGTATGGATAGTCCCCCATTTCAATCCAGAAGCCAATGTTTTAAATGCACATCTTTCATACATATCAACTATGTTTTGTGTTTCATTATACCATATTAAATATTATTCCGTACAACTAGATCTACTGTTTTTACTGCTATAAGCATTCAGTTCTTTTCGCGGCGACGTCCCACATTTTATTTTGCCCAATTTAAACAAAACAAAACACTAGAAAAAATTAAAGATGGCGACAAATTGTAAACGTCAAGCGATTGTCAAAATCAAATAATTAGGAGCTTAGGAGCACAGAAAAAATGGGGGCGTTGCTTGTGTATATCTGGTTGCGGTGATATTTTATTCCTAAATATTAAGATGATTTTTTCTATATAATCTAATAATCTCTTTATAATTAATTCATAATATAATAAAAATATCATCATATTAAGCAAATATATATAATACATTTTATATTTAGACAACAAATACAATACATTAGAATAAAATCATAGTTAAATCCTTCTACTTGACTAATCAACAATAAAAAATAAAATTAACAGCATAAATTAATGTAAATATAATATAAATAATACAGCACAAATAACTAACAATTTTAAAATATCTTTTTACGTGTTCGATCTCAACAGTATCACAGGGACAGATAAATGTATGCATACATACAATAGGTACAGAGAAACATTTGGGAAGTATAATATAGAAAAATAGCTGAACTATCCACTACTATTAAAAAATCTACAAGTAATATTGTATTTTCTCTGTATGATTACAGAAAAATAGCATTACATTATTAAAGAGGATTATTTAAAATGCTTTAGAATTATAAAAATGTAAGAGCATCAGTCGTTTTGTTAAAATTCATGAAAATTAAATATTTTATGGAATTAAAAATGATAAAAACTAAGGTTTCCATGTGTGTATTAGCTAGATCCATTCATTGATAAGTCAGGTGTTTTTCCTTCTTTAACAATCCTCAAAGCACTTAAAATTGAGACTTTGTCCAGCTCAGCTTCTGAGGGTTTTTCATTATCTAAATAGATATCTGCAGCTCTCTCTCCAAAAAATTCCAATACCTTTACTCTATAATCAATACTGCTTGATACATTATTTCCATTCAAAACTAAGTACTCCAGACATGGAAGCCTTCCAAGACATTCCAGTTCTTCAATATTGGTAATTTTATTGCTGCTGAGGTTCAGAGTCTCTAAAGAATACAATTTGTAAAAACCTTTACCTGTAACTATGTTGTTGAGAGACAGATTCAGTGTCTTTATATTCCCTATCTTTCTATGCAAGTCATTACAGACTGTAATCAAGTTATTTTCTATACTCAAATTTTCAAGATTTGGTAACTGAGTCAAGTCAGATACAGTGGATATATAATTGTTATCCAAAATGAGGTGCTTTAGATTTTTAGCCAAATTTATACTTTCATCAATGTCCATTAAATTATTGTTGCTCAAATCTAGTGTTTCTAAAACCTTCCATTTCTAAAACAGGTTACACAAATACAAATGAAGATGTTAATAAAATAAAGCATTACCTGACTCTCTTCTAAAGTGTTTTTATGTAAAATATCACATTGTAAAATATCTGATATCCTTTTAACATTTGAAAATACAACTTCTAAGGTGGTTACTGTCTCTCTAGCATTCCCTAGAGAAGTTACCATATCTAATGAGACATTTGATAAATAGAGACCTTTTTGAATCTAAAAATGATCAGCTTAATCTAATAAAAATAGATATATTAGATAGTATAACATACCTTAAAAGGGCTCAAGTCAATTGGGAGTTTATTCAATATTATGTTACTTTTAAGATAATCATTGTAGCATCCATGTATAATAAAAGCATCTAATTGGGAACACAAATCTAAAATTGGTCCTAAATCCAGTTGTTTACTGGAATTAGTGAAGTTTGGAGCGGGACTTTTCAAGAATTCATTGATAGCATAGAGCTAAAAGAAATATTGCATAAATCTGTAATACAAAACAATTGATGAAGTATTACCTCTATAGGTTTAAAGCTATAAACTCTACTAGATGATAAAATTAAGTCTCCTTTTGTAAAACATAAAAGAGACAAATCTTGTAACAAAAAGTATATATCATACAAGTGGAAGTCTAAGAAATCAACAAATATTTTTGGCATGGTTTGTCTCAAAAAAATGAATATTTTTTGGACATACTTCTCTAAAGCTTTACGCCTGTTCTCGATAAAAGGCTCGGATTTGTTGCCAATAACTTTTTTAGATGGAAGGATATCTTTAGATACTCCATGATCAGTTATAAGTTGGTTGTGTAAATTGTAAAATTCGCTGTACCGGTGCTTGACGTTCCATTTAATTTCTCCCACTTTAACACTGATTTGGTAAAATGTTACATTGTCTATCTCCTCTGTTAATGGTATTTGAATTAAAACTTCATTTGAATTCGACCATAAACAAGCCATTTGCTATTTTTGTATTTTTCTCTTGTCAAAATGACAGGATACATAACCTTAAAGTTCCTAGCATAACCTATTTAAAATACGCCTTCTGGTGGTTATAAACTGTACTGCACATAAGTACTGCAATAAAATTGAAGTGATGTGGATGAATGAAGGGGGAAGTAGTATCCTTATCAAGGATACTACTTGATCCTTATATAAACAAGGGTAGCATCTGGGTAGCATCTTTGTCTATATAATCAAGGGTAGTATATTCCTTTGGGGGAAGTATCTTTCAGTACAAAGTTAGGTACATATACTATGGTTCTATGGTGGTGGAAAGGGGTGTATAGCATGTGTATAGTACATGGATGGTACATGGTGTCTTTATATTATTTATTTTATGTAAGAAAATGTAAAAATGTGTATATAATTATATTACAAATCCATTAAATATATAAGTAGTAAACTGTATTAATCCCTAATATCTATTAAATGTAAAAAAATATAATTACAATTAATACAAAGACATTTGATAAAAAGAGTATAAGAAGTATTATATTCTATGTTTGAAAAAAGTATTTGAAAATAATATTTCACTAAATCGCATAATTATCTGTATTCACATAATATTTTCTGTAATTTTCAGCACAAATATATAATTTTACTCAGACATTGGCTCTGGCCCTGAAAAATTCACCCCCTCAGATATGTTTTGTACAGTTTCATAGCTACTCTTGTCGTTTTTGTTAAGTAATGATACTAAATAACTGGCTGAAGTAGCTATAACATTAAATTGCTTTTTCCTTATATTTAGCTTCTGGTCCAGTTGTTTCTTCTCTGCAGCTAAATCAGCTAATTCTTTTTGTAGTGTTTTCAGCTTTTTATTTGTACTTGTTCTTGGGGGTTCCTTTGCTATCGACTTTGCCAACAAATCATACTGAATACGGTGTTGTTTTATTATTTTAGCCTTCACTAGCTCTTTCCTTTGCTGATCAATCTCTTTGTTTTTTATTTCTATTGCTTCTTCCATATCAGTGTATAACGTCTCATAGTTATGTAACTGCTCTGCCTTTGCTTTACTTACGTATTGGGACCTGTGTCTGGAATATTCAACAAGACTAAGTTGAGATAATATTTTGTCGTACGTTGCCTGGGAATCTTCATCTGATTCATCCACTTTAACCCATTTACTTATCATTTTTAATAAAACATTCAGTCTTCTGTCTTCTCCTGTTCCATCACCATCAAATATTAAACGCCTTCTAATAACTTCCTCTAAAAAAACAAAATTATTATTAATTAGTAATAACTTAAAAACTTTGAGTAACAGAACTGTTTCTCCTTAAAGAAAGCTTACATATTTATTTAATTAATATTAATAGCATACCTTCAGACATGATTATTCTATTATTTATTTCTAAAGTATTTAAGAAAATAATTATTTTCTTTTTAAATAGTGTTGAATAGCGTAGTATTTTAAGGTTAGATACACAGACCACAGAACACACACACAGACGTTAGATAAAACAGTAGCCATAGATTAAGTATATATAACTGGAGCGAAACAGGAGTAACAGGAGGTGAAAAGAAGTGGTAGAAATTTTAAACTCTTAAATACCACAGCAGCAAACTGTAAATTGAAATTTTATAGAAATCTGTAACAGTACTGAACTAACTATTTATCGCTGCGCATTAGGAAAAAAGTGTGTTGGGTGTTCGTATACTGGGTTGAGTTCAGTCCCGTCATTCTGAACTCCTGTCAAATAAGTGACATCCACAGGAAAACTTCAGTGCACAGCGTTGCCAATCTTTGTGGAATTCCACAAAATGTGTGGAATTCGTAATAATGTTGTGGAACGTTTGTGGAATAGAATAAATGTGGAATTTTGTGGAATTTTCGGAATTATTCCTTTTTTTCTTTTTTTTTTCCTTATTTAGCTAATAGTAAAAAAAATATTATAGAACTCATCATAATTTTACAGATTTCTGTAAAAAGAGCGTCGCCGTCGAGGTTAGCAGCTAGGTTCGGTATTTAGATCTGCAAGCAATCCGACGAAATTTTCGACATATCACATATCACACGTCACTATATAATGTAAAATCCCTTTAAGATCACGTGGTTTATATTAAAAAAATATCGGATTGGTCGCAGACCTAAAGACCGAACCTGGCTAGTGATTGTGGAATTTTGTGGAATTTGGGTATGTTCGCCGTGGAATATAATTTTGGACCATTGGCAACGCTGTCAGTGCAACGGGTGGCAGGCCGCTGTTAGCAAGGCTGAAGTGGGTTGTTGGTTTGTCTGATTGTTAGTTTGGGGGGCCGGGGGTAACGGTGGCGGTCAGTGTTGGTGATTGACCGTTGTGTCGTAGTGCCTGTGGACCTTTGTGATACCTCCATTGAAGATGGCAAGGAACCAGGACGAAGCCAAACAAGTCGTCCGAGTTGACCAAGACTCAGAGACAGATTTGCAAGCTTTATTCGACAGTGTGTTAAAACCAGATTCAAAGAGGCCACTTCAGGTGCCATGGAGCATGAGGAAGTTACCCGATTCGTTTTTCACCCCTCCGTCAACAGGTTCCAAATCCATTAACCATTCTCGGGAGAATTCTGTTGATTCTGCTTTCGACGTATCGGGACCCGTGAATTCTGTGCCTTTACAAACTGCTCATCATAGGGCTCACAGTTCGCCAGCATCTCTACAGCAAACGTACGCTGTGGGACAACAGCAGCCCCCCGCTCACCACCACATCAAACAAAGGTCCTATGATGTGGCTAGTAAATCAGATGATAATGCACCCCTGCCACCAGGTTGGGAACAAGCCAGAACCCCCGAGGGACAAGTGTATTATTTAGAGTGAGTACCTGTATACCTGTTGACGACAGGTTTTGCTGGGCTGGTGTTACAGAGCCGGATTGGGTGATTTTGTGTTTAATGCCTTCAAATTGCAGTTAAGAACGCTACAAGCTTTACTTGTGCCTTAATTTTTTACGTTTCATAATGTTTAGTATTAAATATATAAGGTAATAACTGTGTAAATCAAGGAAATATATCTAGTTTTATACGTCTTTCTTTTCTTTTTCATGCGATCATAATCACCCACAAAGGCTTTGGAACGCTTCTAATTATTATTGTTTTCTATTAAGTTTAACCCAAAACAGTGCAAATCTCTTTTATCATCGCACTATGGTCAGTTATCCCCTGCTAAATAACTCAGATGATTAATTATATAAATAAATAATAATGACTTTCAGAAATATGAAGCGTTGAGCCGAGTATTTTTAAGACTGCCACTGGAAAACTAGTTTAAGGATTTTAAAGTAGATAAAAATAGCATAATGTTTGGATAATCTTGAAAACTTTACTTTTCATTGAAGTGAGGCTGCTCGTTACGTTATTTGACCAGCAAAAATTAAATTGTTTGAATTCAATCTGGGCTATTTCTATACAAACAGCCAAGGTAAAGTCAATTTAAAATAAATCATGGTATTAACTCAATTTTTTCCTAGGACTTCTATTGTCATGTTCTTTTATCATGCCTTAAGCTGGCTATCCTTTAAATATGCCGTTATTATTTTTATTATATAAATTATTCCCCCTTAGTTAGCCCCTGAAGATATTGCCATACTTATAGGCATAAATAAATGAGAATTTTTTTAATGCATAGGTATACCATATTCTCCTTTTTTATTCAGTAGTCAGTATTAAAAATATTTTCTAGTGATGAAAACAGTATAGAATTTTGATATTTTACTCAAACAAACAGGTGAAAAATATTTAAAATATTTTAGCAATACTCTGAGCAGAATCAGGTACTGACATCATATATATGTTTTCACTCTTTCTTATCATTTCAATGTCAAATTTTTATTTCGTTTTTTTATTAACACGTGAAATAACTAAATAAACAAGAAACATAATAAAGTGGATGATAGGGTATTATATGTTGATTTAGAAATTAATTTGTCGATAATATATCGAGAATCGTTTTTATCTCATCACTTGAAAATATATTTGGATCTTTCAAGATCCAAAGATCGGATCAGATCCACGTATAACATGATAATTTAGGTTTATCTAAATTGAAACAAGAATACAAGTCAACTTGCAAAACTTAGTCTATGCAAAAAATGTTTTAGCAAAAATGTGGGAAGCGTTATTTTACAAAAAGCATGTCCATTGAGTGAAATCATTGTTTTGTATCTCGTTTTTCTAGAAATAAAAAGTAATATTTAATTTTTAAAGAGAAAAAGCACAAAAATAATTCGGATATAGCGGGTTTGTGGTATGATGCATATTGCGGGTTTTGTTACAGCAAGATATTTGCATCCTAACTTCATTTATTAGATATACTGTTTTATTAAAATTAGGTAAGAATTTGAAATGGATAAGACGTCAGTAGCAATATTATACTTGTGTAAAGAACCTATGAAAATATTTGGGATTTGCCACAATAATGAGAAAAAAAACAAATATATGTGTATAAGACGGATTTCGCTGCAGTAACGTAATTCGTAGTAAATTTTATATAGGAATACCTAGGCGACTGTTGCTGCAGTTTGGGAACTAGGTTTATGTAGGTTTGAGGGTCCCACTACTAATATATTTCATTAGGCCATTTTTTATTAAACATGGATAAAGCCCCGTTCTCAGAACTGTGTCGTGTCGACAGCGACACTGATTGACACTTCAAACGACCAATGGGAGCTGTACTAAATTTAAAATTGACAGCTGTTTGAATTTTGTATAAATCTGATTGGTTCTTTTGTCGTGTCGCTGGCGACAGTCGAAGTTCTGAGAACGGGGCTTAAGGCATGTTATGCCACTTGACGCCTCAGATATTTGCATAAAAATATTGCAACATTTACTAGTTATTATTTAGACGTTAACCATTGAGACATAAAATGAAGAGATGCAATATCCTCTTGTTGGGAGGCTGCAGTAGCAATATTACCGGCTTTTGTAATTTAAAATTCAAGTTCTTTTACAATACATTCCTTATATCGTAAAAAGGATGAACTTAAGAAGCGCAAAATTTATTTAGAGACCGATTAGGTGAAGTTGACAAATAAGTTAACAAATACTCAGAATTTTACTTTGTTAGTCAAATACAAAGGTGCAAAATCTTGATCAGTGAAGTGAATGAAGCAAATATATGCTTCCTAAATATAGAAAGTGGTTTTGTGTAGCAGCAGATATTGCACATACCCGTGCTTGCTTGTATAACCCATACAGACATAAAAATCTTTGTTAATAATTACATAAAAAATATAATTAAACTGCCAACTGAATATATTATAACTATAACACGCTTTGTCTTTGCTACTTTTGGTCAATTTTTTTCTCCTTTACACTATATACCTACTCTAAGAAAACAGTATTTATGTCCATGTATTTTGTTTTCTTTTAAACAAAATAATATACTTGCATATGCGCATTTATCTGGAATACTTTAATTATTATGAATTGTTATTTTGATTTAATATAGTGTTTATTTTAAGTTATTGATACTACTACAGTTCTGGGTAATATTATGTAGTTGAAACCTTATCATTTCAATACCTATTCATACATGTTTTAAATGTACTTATTAACTACTTATTAATACCATTAAAAATCATTGATATTGCTGATCTTTCAGTTATAGCAAAACTACAGGGTGGTCGTACTTCGGTAGTAGGTAAAAATAAGTAAAATAATTCGTATAAATTTAAGGTATGAAAGTTTCATTTTTTGGGGGTGTTTTTCTGAATAATTTCTGATCTATATGTGAATGATTTATTTGATTTAATGCAAGAAGTAAATTGGTTATAGGTTCCCCTGTATTTAAGGTGATATGGCAGAGAACACTGGTCCAGCGCCTGAAAAATAATTTGATTTTTGGCAGTTGTATCTTTCTATTTTGCACACACGGCAATTAGATGATGTCGCGTCTGGATATATTTTTAGAATTTAAAATTCTAGGCGCCTAAGTCGCACTTGCGGACATCGAACCTTTTCATATCGCAGTCTGCCCGAAATAATGTGGCCTTATTTAAATGTTTTCCAAAGTTTCTTCTTCCCAGACAATGTTTTCATCTCCTACGAACATAATCTGCTGTTTTTTGCTTATTTTCCATGTAAAAAAAATGTGTGTACACTATGTGCCCATATTTGAAGTGTAACTTCTGACTAACAGCTATTAAATTGAAGAATTTGAAGGAGATGTTTGAAAAAGTATAGTTTGAAATGTTGATAGTTTTTATGTGTAACAAATAGTTTTTTACGTGTAACGAATAGTTTTTTACGTGTAAGAAATACTTTTTTGCCCGTAAAAAATAGTTTTTACGTGTAACAAACAGTTTTTTACGCGTAAAAAATAGTTTTTTACGTGTAAAAAATAGTTTAATACGCGTAAAAATTAATAAATACACATTTATACACTTTTTCAAACATGTCCTTCAAATTCTTCAATTTAATAGCCGTTAGTAAGAAGTTTCACTTCCAATATGCGAACATAGTGCACATAAAATTTTTATTTTGAAGTTTTTTCTAAATATTCCTCTGTATGATTAATTTGAGATAAACCCTGGTACAGTATTCTGGATTAATCATTTGCAACAGTCATTACTGCTAACCTTGGTTTGAAAGCAGTCTATTTGGTGCCAGAAATTTCGATTATTGGCACTATGTTATGTGCGTTAGGTATAACGATTTAGGCGTCTCTGCTCTCTTAGTCATGCTAATATGTTTCATTAATAGTTTTGGAAATAATTATTTACTGTTTGCTATCCGACAATAACATTTTAATTGGATTTGAGTCAGGATTTGGTGCCAAGAAATGGCTTTTTAATATGTCCAGCGCTGCTGCACTTTCTATACTTTCTATTTCGTACAAATTTTAATGCGTTTTTAATATTTAAAAGGATTTAAAACTACCTAACACATTTATAACTTTTATGATACTACTGTGAGGCCTCCAGAACACATTCGTAGGTATTTAATATAAAAAAAACTTCCTGTTTTCAATGAATACAGAAAATTATCAGTTTATTGTATAATTTATTCATTTCAAATAAAATATGGCCTCTGATTATGAAAAAGCCAATGTTACGGAATTTTTAATTATAACTTCTTTGCGGTGCTTAAGAAAATTTTATCTGAAATTATTTTTTTTTTCAAAATTTTGGAACTCGTGTATGAAATATTGCTTTTTAGAGCGTTTATTATCTGAAAATAGACCCAAATTGGCCATAAAGTTCTAATTTAATTAAATCTTTTACAGTTTTATCACTCTACATCAATTTTCTTGGCTAATATTGCTCATTTCTTTGAATTATTTACGGGTATCAATACATTTTCAATCCCAGGACTTATAAACATGAAATATAGTTTAAAATAATGTGCTTCTACCTGTAAACGTTTCCACAAAAACTCTTTAATTAAGTTACATTTTTTTTAGATATACAGGGTTCGGCAATAGTGCGTCGGGCATCTGCAGCCCCTATAATAAAAAACTTAGGAATTTTGTTTAAGTGCAGACCTAAAGTATGTATTAGAATGTATTTCAGGAAAATATTTTAAATGCTACAGGGTGGCTCAAAAAAGTGTGAGTGAACCGCGATAATTTTTTTAAATGGGACACCCTTCTTCCCTTCTGGTCACTTTACATAATTCTAAAATTTTATTAAATATGTTTTGATAGTTTCAGAGATTTTATTTTTTTAGGATTTTCTAAAAAAAATCATTAAAAATAGAAGACATGTAGTAATAAACAAAGCAACAATTATTTAAAAAAAAACGAAGAAAAATTATTTTGTATATTAGAAAGTTTGGCGTAGAATTTTGAACACCCTGTATGGTTCAAGATTACGATA